ATTTGCTGTACGGAGATTTGTAGGTCGAAAGGGATCTTGAAGTCCTTCGAGCCCTATCAACTTGATTTGCCATCACTGAGAATCGTCGGCTTCGAGAGCTTTGTTCAGACATCCGACTATCAGTCGAAGCAATAGAGAACTTTCTAAGGCCTGCGCTAAGCAGAGCWGGGCTCTCAGTCTCTATTCCTGAGAACTGGCTTTCGTCTTCATCATCTGGATAAGGTGATCTTGYTGAGTAAAACGACATTGTTGCTAGTGAAAAGAGAAGCTTTCAGATGTCACGGATTATAGTGTTAAACAGTGGGCTATTTTGATGTCCTATATAGAAAGCGTTCAAGCTGAAAGCCATTGACCCCAGGCTACATTTAGACAAAACCACTGGTTAATTAGAAACATTTGAATGTATTTCCAGCAGCGCCGAAAATGTTGCAGAGGGATAAAAACGCTCTGGATTAAACTCAGGAATTGCACANTCGCTGTCCTTTTGCATAACGCCGTCCAACTGACTCGACAGCTTCAACAGAGTCCGCCGCTTTGGCGCCATTACTGGTAATAGACTGCAAATGTTGTCTACTCGTTTCCACGATTCTTGCTGCTTTTAGCGTATCTTCGAGGCTTTTGTCGCTTTCCATCAATCGCTCTTTTAGTTTTATGTCTCTGAGGCCTAAGACTAACTTTGTAGTTATCCATGATTCTCCTCTGTCGCCAAGATCACAACTTTTTGCTAGGGCTTTGAGAGCTCCGCAGTATTCGTCAACTGACTCGCCGTCTCTTTGATTTCTTTCGATAAACAAATGACGATTGAAATTCTTTGAACAAAGTGGCTCAAAATAAGCTTTGAACTTCTCTTCGACTGCTGAAATTTCATCAGAGTCCTCTTCCTTCTCCCACGTGAACTGAGAAAAGATTTCTTGACATTCTTTGCCTAACACGTGCAAGAGTGTCGCGACTTGTATCTTCTCGGACTTTTCTTCAAGTCCACTAGCAACCTTGTAAAGGTCCCACGAGCGCTTCCACTGTCTCCAGCACTCGGACTTGTCTCTCTCCTCGCTTAATCTCAAAGCAGAGGGAGGTTTCAGGTGCTCCATATCCTCTAATTTTAGAGTTTTGTTCTGACACCATGTACTAACACGCACGCCATACTTGGGTTCATACAAAGCACACTTTATTGTAAGCACATGACTGTGACGTCATTACTGTACATGCATATAGTTAATATCATTACACATTCCACGTGTTTATTTGATTGCGCTTTCCAATGTTTCCCGATGTCATTTTCTGGGTTGTCGGAAAAGGAAGACCAAAAAAAGAAGATCTAAGACCCTAAAAATAGAGGCACAATGATTATCAAGATAAATACCTTGTTTCTAACATAATTATTGTTAAAGGAGATATATTTGAAAATACAGCATCTACGTGATTTGAAATGCATTGTGGGATTAGCTTCTGGAAAAAAACAAAAAAACAAACAAAAAATCAGACATGTTTTCTCCCAAACATATCGTACAATGCATACGCGGTATCCGACGTTAATCTTCACGTGATTTGTTTTATGTACTTAAGGGGACAACATTCCACTGTGCATAATGGCCTTATTTTCGTATTCGATTGCCGGCCGAGTCTGGAATCAAATGGCTGCATGTCTCACGTGCATTCATTACAAATGCTCAACATTTTGTTATCATTAAAGGTTATTTTTTGTTCATAATTAGATTCTATTTTTCCTATCGTTGAAGCCATATAAATAAATAATAAATATTGATTTACTGTCTTTCAGGAGTCGTACGATAAAGGGAGTAGTCATCCCGAAGACGAGRKCCAATCGCACATCGATGAAGAAGATACAGAATGTCACACAAAGAAAATATCTGAAGAACCCGACAGCCTTAWCGAACATAATAATGAATTGAATGACAGCGAGCTTTCTGAAGAACGGGGKGGGTCAGAAGATGAGGATCAAGAGTGTACGCCTGAAGCTGAGACTGTACAGCACCAATCTTTATCGACTTCTGTAAATGGAACACATGAGTGTGTAATGAATGGTGTGCATGAAGAACAAGTGTCTCAAACGGTCTGTAGAGAATCAGAAGACGAAGGAGAAGGTGAGAAAAACGAGGCTGAAGTGCACGAGGACGAAGCAGAGGGATCKATACACGAAGAAACRAGTGACCATAAAGAAAATTCTGAAACAACAGACCAGAMAATCGAAATTACAAACGAAACCACTAAAACAGATGAATATTCACATGGTCCACGACTGGAGTCCTTGCACTCTCTCTCAGCKAATGTTGGCTCKTTGGAACACGATGACTCAGATACAGACGTTGTGTGTTCACAAGATGCAACCAACGATGAAAGTGCAGAAGGATTATCAAACGAATTTGAGAAGAGTCAAACCGAGGTAAATGACGATRATGTAGATAATGAAGAAGAAGAYCACGCAGAAGATGAGSATCACCAAGATAATGACGAGACAAAAGAASACAACGACATTGACGAAACAGAAGAAGAAACTGAACAAGCTGAACATGAATTGATTGATCAGGCTGCGGACACTGAAGATAACGAAACTGATGCTGAAAGAGTCGAAGACACTGCAGAAGACGCTGATCAACAAGGTACGTTGAAKACATCACACCAAACGATGTTTGTTTCGTCAGTAGTTATGGATCACACGTGGATARAATATGTACTTATATAAAATAACCGGTAGAAGAGCGAAAAAACTGAAAGGGTGCGCAGCTCGGCYCCGCATCTGTATGAACTCCCTMTCGTMATCKTTTTCAGATTTGTCKTCACATTTTCTGACGGGAAAGTATAATTATTAGAAACCGGCGGGATGAACCACATTTTCTTATGATATTGATACATTGATATGGCAGATTTCTTTCCATGATGCTCTTCCATATGGTTGTGCACTGTTGTYGAGATCTACGCGCAACTACGTTTAACTGCATGCATATTAAGCGACAATTGTTAACRTCCAGCAGAAAGTTTAGCTCTCCTGTTGTGATAATAATATTTATGACTATTGTTATTCAGATCTAAACGGTGCCGTTGACACTGAAGACGTCGCTGAAGACAAAGTCGTTTATCAGGAAGATGAAAATGAAATTAATCAGAATGAAAAAGATACCGAACAGGCTGATCATGTTGAAAATGAAGACGAAGTAACTACTTCAGATGCAGAAGAAGCAGAAGAAGACATCGAATGTCCGACAGAAGCTATGGTGAAATGCTCTGACGAGCCAGGTATGCCCAACTAAAAAGATATAATTAACATAATTTATTATCAAAAACTGCAACGCAGTGAAAAAAAACAAAAAAAAATCTGAAATTAACAAAAAATCATATGAAAAGTATTGAAAATATAGCATCAATCGAAAAGAAKTTTTGAGAATCTCAGTTTTGAAGTAAGAATAGGTCTAGTTAGGCCACGCATTTTGTAACGAGGAAGTGATGTCTTAATACGCAGGAGCAACAAATGCAACTGAAAAAGATGTTGAAAATAAAGAGAACACTGATTCAGATAATGATTTCATAAAGAACAACGACGATGTTTCGATGGCACCAGATGATATTCTAAAAAGAGAAGTTGGAACACAAGTAAATGTTTTAGCCGATAAAAGACCTGAAAATGCAGAACAACAGATAGATACAGAAGAAACAAGTACTGCGAAAGATGAAATGGAGGATCAAATTTCAGRAAATGCAATAGAAACAAATGACAATATAGAAACTGTTGAACAAATAAAGGTGGAAGGTACCGAGGAAATAATTGAAGTTGAAAAGGTCGAAAAAGAAGAGCAGGCAGACAAAAATACCGACAACGAAGTTAATCAAACAGAAGATGAAACAAACGAGCCACATGAAAAAGAACAGGAGCCAATAATAGATCACGAACAAGACAATGACGCAGAAGTTACACTAAATGCGACAGAAGACGAGGACAGCGTAAAACACGAGGAAGTTGAAACGGAAGTTGAAAGGAACGAGGCACCGGAACAAGAACTAGAGCCAGCACTAGATCGCGAAGAAAAGAATGACGAAGAACTAACAATAAATGCGACAGACAAGGACAGCGTAAAACAAGAAGAAAATGTGGCAGATGATGTAGATAAAGTAGAAAAAGAAGTTTCCTCCGAAGAAAGCAATACACAAGAGGAAACACAAGAGGACATAAATAATGTGGAAGGCGAAGGTCATGATGAGAAAGAATCAGAAGCGAAATTACAGGAAAATCAGCAGAGTACAGAGATAGAAATGGGAGATATTAAAGAGGAAGAGCAGGAACAAAATAGAGAAGAGGAGGAAGAAGACAAAGAAAAGCGAACTGAACACGAGGATCAAGAACACATAGTAGGTGAAGTTTGTACAGAGCAAGAAGTGACAGAAGAGTTACAAGCAGAACAAGTGGAAAACGAGCCTAAAACAGAAGAACACGATGATGCTCCTGAAGCACAAAAGGAAGACCAGGAAAACAATGAAGAAGACCACGACGAAGAAAAGGAAGAAATTGAGGATAAGGTTGAAGAGGTCGAACATACAACACAGGAAATAACCGAGCAAGCGCAGCCTGAATTAGAATCCAACATTGATGACGATGATGCTGTCCAAGAGGAAAAACTACAAATAGAAAAGAAGGAAGACACCAGTGAAGAGCAGTCGCAAGTGGAGCAAGATGATACCTTTGAGAAAGACAGCGAGGAAAAGAATGAGAGTGAAGCATTCGAGGAGGAAGAACAGGATGACGCTGACCAAGGCACTGCTGATCAAGTATYAGAAGATACTCARGAGGGAGGAGAAGTGCAGGCAGRCGATAACGAGCAGAAACAAGAGGACAGAGAAGATGARGMGTCAGCRGACAGTGKCGACCAGGTGTTACAAGAAGATGAAAGTCCGGTTCAAAAACGCGAATTTGATGAAGAAACTGGAGATGACAACGAGTTAGAGAATAAAATCGAAARCACGAATGARGACGAGGAAACTTTACAAGAAAGYGAACAAATGGCAGACGAGGATGAAGAAGAATCRCAACAGCCTAGCATTGTTCGAGGTAATTCATTTATCCAACAGTACCAAAGCTCATCCATCAAAATTACTTAATCAAGAGACACAAAGATCATTCATCATTCGTCTCAAGGACAAAAAGACGAGACGTCACGCATCTCTTCATTTTACTTTATTGCACTCACATTCAAGACGCGATTTTTTYCCTCTTYATTATCTGCATCTCTTTGTATCATCTGCAATATTKTTGCTACAATTTAACCGACTACACTGGCTACCAACATTTACTTAATGGATACATAGACGCGTTTTCTGCTTACACCTGAACGACAAATCCAAAATAATAGCTCTTTTTGTTTGTGTGTAAAACTTGAACATAACACATATACTGCAGCGATTTTGCAGGGATGATTGCTAATGTTTTTTTGAGAAAGAAATGCGATAACTAATACGGCACAGCGTGATAATTTTCACAATCACACGATTGTCACGTGACATGGACTGCTATATTTTCTTGGTTTCAGTGTATATCTCAAACCACGTAACCGAATCATGCACATAATCGTTTGCTACTGCATGCAGATTACACTTTGTCCACCATTACGTCGCACATTTGAGCTACTAGCTTTGATAAGACATYCAACAGTTCGCGCTAATTAATGAACGTTGCTTTATGTAATGAAGCTGTAGATGGAGTATGTAGTTGCTGCCACATTTTAAAAAAAATAGTGTTATTTTTATTCAATAATACTTTGAGAAATAAGGCGTTATTTCCTATTAACAACATATCTATAAATGGGATTAATAAGTGTACTTGCAATTGTGATATAACTGTTTGCCTGATTGTGTAACCTCTGCTTCCCAGGCCAGGTATAGAAGCTGCACGTGCACTATTTTGGGGTTACGCTATCAACAATGTCATATTTCTGTTTCATTTGTTGTTGGTAATGGAACAACTTTAATGAATTTGAGACYTAACAACGCACCTCATAAAAGGTTTTGACCAACAACATTCACTCATCTTCATGTACTGACATCTAAATTCAATGTTTTTTAATATTGGCGTGTTCAGCTTTGATTGACCTCATTTTGCGGCATTAATGTTTGAAATTCATATTTTTTTTGTTTGAATAGAAGAGTCATCTAAGGTAAAAGAGCTTGGAAAGAAATTTCAAGGTGCAACAAAAGACGTCACATCCTCATGCTCAAAAGAAAGCCAAGGTATACTTTTATGGATAATTTAGATTTCTCTTTACCTTATCCCATAGGCGTTTTTTTCCTATTCGGCTTCTGAAAGAAATATTTGATTTATTAAAATTTATTTCTCTGCTTTCTTCTTCAATAGATGTTACTCCGAAATACCCGGTTAGCCATACATTTCTTTGTAAAATTTACCGTAGCYTTCTTTCACAGTTAACAGATTTCCTATTCTAATTTCAGCCGAAAAGAGTCCTGTTAGTGTACGTCGATACAAGGAGATATTCGAACATGGAGAACTTTTGCTTAGTCCGGCCGCATATGCTGCAGGTAARCATAACACACAATAGTTGTGAAGAATGTGACTTTCCTTTTTGCTCCCTGGTCAGAATGAATCATTCCGTATTCCAGTTAATTACACTTCAGAAAAGTCTTTCGTCAGCAGCGCTGTGCTTTGCTTATGTCAGCTATTCATTAGGGGAACAATGAGCTGTGACCGGAACATTCAGAACAAATTGCAAATTGCATTGCTCATTTTGGAAGACTTTTCTAACAATGTCTTATTTGCACGATGACGTCAAAACTAGAAGATTTTGCCCACTTTCTTTAGTGATGTAACTAGTGCCAATTGTTTTACTAACTTCAAAGGGATTAAAAATCTGAATAACAAAGAAAATGTTCTGTTGGGAAAAAATTACACAACAATAGAAAGTGGACAAAGCATTCTGGTCCTAATATGACGCTATCGTCAGGGGCGGATCCAGCTGAAATTTTAAGGGGAAAAGGGCCTGAGCCATTTTAAGATGGGAACCGCCCTTGATCGCACAAATGTCTTATTTACCAAAAGGGCACTGAAAACTGGAAAGACAGCCAAAGAAAGATAAGAAATCTCCAAAGATGACTCCATTGGTACCAAGCACATTCAATTCTCTCTAATTTATTTATTTTTTTTTAGCTCCTGATGGCGAAGTCACCAGTCCGCGTCCAGGAATAGTAAAAAGCATGTGCGACCTCTTCGAAAATCCTAAAAATTTCGAGTGGCC